TCTCGTTCAACAAAAGGTGATTTTGAATGGTTATGCGTGGCATTAGCTCTTCCTAATGATGGCTTTGTGCTATACTGTGGTGGTCCTTTGAGGCTGTTTGTTTTAGCATCTTGTGCTAACCAGCTCATTTGGTGATAGCTTCAGAATACTAATGCTAATGCTAATGCTGGTTCTCACAAAGCTTGGCTTTTGAAAAATGCTTTAGACCATTCAGCACCCCTCTGATATGCGGAGTGAGAGACAAGAGGGCAAGAAAGGCAATGCTCATTTTTTTTATGCAAATTAAGCAGCCCACAGGAATGATGGATCTTTGCTTCACATCCTTGGGCCTAAGCTTCTGAAAAAAGGTAGCCATCTATTTGCATAAGCGTCAGGCCTGCCCCTTGTCTGTGTTATACAAATGCTGTCAAAGGAAATGGAGGGAGAACAGATTTGAACTCTGTTGGGAAAAGTATGATTGTATAACTAAACCACATTATTTTCTTTTTAGTTTTTATAAAATATCTTCCCCCCCTGTATCTCCATTCTTATTTCTTGTTTCAGAGTCACTGTTCCTACCCTGCAGAGGGACATCAGCAGTGGATACCTTGGAGTAATATCACTTGCAATAGTCTCTGCAGGAGAGCCCTTCTACATTATTATGATCAGTGACTGATTTGCTTCATACAAAATACAGGTCTATGTAGCACTTTAAAGACTAACAAGATGGTTTAATAGGTGATGAGCTTTTGTGGGCCAGACCCACTTCCTCAGATCAAATAGTGGAAGAAAATAGTCACAGCCATATATACCAAAGGATACAATTTAAAAAAATGAACACATATGAAAAGGACAAATCACATTTCAGAACAAAAGGGGGATGCCGGGGGTGGGGGGGGAAGGAAGGTGAATGCCTGTGAGTTGATATTAGAGGTGGAGAAGGGTAGATGTCTGTGAGTTAATAGTATTAGAGGTGATAATTGGGGAAGCTATCTTTGTAATGGGTAAGATAGCTGGAGTCTTTGTTCAGCCCCCTGCGGAGAGTGTCGAATTTTAGCATGAATGCCAGTTCAGAGGATTCCCTTTCAAGTGCAGATTTGAATGTCTTCTGAAGTAGGATGCAGGTGAGTAGGTCATTGAGACAGTGTCCTTTCTGGTTGAAATGGCAAGCAACTGTTTTTTCTTTGTGATACTGTCTAATGTCTGTTTTGTGGGCATTGATTCTTTGGCGAAGTGTCTGAGACGTTTGTCCAATGTACATAGCAGACGGACACTTTCGGCACATGATAGCATAGATTATATTTCTGGAGGCGCAGGAATATGTATTCTTGATCTTATAACTCACTTGGTTAGGCCCAATAATGGTGTCAGCAGAGTGAATATGTGGATAAAGCTGGCAACGGGGTTTGTTGCAAGGGAAAGTACCAGGGTTGGTATTAGTGTGGTATGTCCTGTGGTTGTTGGTAAGAATCATCTTGAGGTTAGGTGGTTGTCTATAGGAGACTATGGGTCTGTCTCCCAGAGATTCTTGGAGTTTAGTGTCCTGTTCCAGTATAGGCTGTAATTTATTGATAATGTGTTGGACAGGTTTAAGTTGGGAGCTGTAGGTGATGACAAGTGGTGTTCTATTTGCTTCATGTTATTGTTCTCTTCATTAACCACTTGGCAGTGACTCTTCATCACCCATTTTATAGCAGAGACATGAGAACTTTGCTGCCACCATATTTCTGATCATCAGCTTGACTTGCCCAAATCTCCTGTTAATGTATGTTTGGTATAGGCTGTACTTATAGTTATTTAAATGAGTTCCCAAATTGTGGTATGTGGCACTTACTTGTGGTCTGTGGAGAGATGGCTGGCCACATCTGTTCTCCCTGTTTCCACTCGCTAAGACAGTTAAAAATACATTAAATACTTTCCTAATATTACTTTTCCATGCTTGGGTATCACAGGGATTAATTGCATTGGCAGTCTGTGGGGAAGAAGTTCACAAAGACACCAACAGAAGTGGAGACAGTCTATGTGATAATCTTCCTACTAAAAGGTGTCCCACACAGTTAAAAGCTTAGCAAACCTTGATCAATCTACTATATTTAGACATCATGGCTACTCTTTAGTCTCATGAATATAGGCAATTTCAAAGTCCCAAATAAAGAGAACCACTTAAACTAAATAGTTAAATTAGCCAAGTGATTTATTGAGCTGTTTGGGGTTTCTGTTTAGGTACAGCTCTCTGCATACACAGTTTCAGAGTGAAATTGGCAATTTCTCCGCTGACCTCCACCCAGCTGTCACTTAATATTAGCCCTATCCACTTCTAGTCAGTGAGATTTCAGGGGCTACATCATAGAGATTCCTTCATGCATTTGAGGGGTAACAAGTAATTTTTGCCTGAGTGAAATTTGTCTTTTGGATACCATGATTTTTGTGCTACTTATTAATAAATAGATACATTTTCACTAAGCACTTAAAATCTTCAGGCTCCTTGAATACTCTTACTTGGTGAGAAACAGTAATGGCACATTGATAGAATAGAATTCCATGCACGAGGCCAGGTGGCACCAACTAAAACAAAATCGTAAAATAAACAAGCCAGATGTCCTTTTTGATCCTGACCATTTTGTTTGTTGATTGTATCACTTTTTCTCAATTCTTTATCTGTTTTGTCTTTCAGACTGTAAACACTTTGGGGGAGCGGCTGTGTCTTTCTACATAGGAATGTACAGCACCTATCCCATTTTGAGGAGTATAAATAATTATTGCAGTATACTATCTTGATAAATGTTAGCTCATTTTCAAACTATCAGGTTCTTATATTTATGACTGTACTAACCTCTAGATATTACTGACCATTGTAGGCGAGCTTCATACAGAAAAATCACTGCAACTCATTCAATAATTTATTTCTCTTTCAAGAACTACATAAATCACTACACAATAAAGGCATTACTAAGTACTTTTTAAAACCTAATACAGATTTTGTTTTATACTTCTAGGTGAAGTTTCTGTGGAAGAAAATCAAGACCCTTTCCTTGTCAGTATCCATATCATCACAGACCCTGGTGAATCCAAAGTTCTCCAGCAAGCCATTGATAAACTGTTAGCATGGATCCATCCAGACCTCCATTTGTTCCGAGTCTCAGAAAGACGGGTCTTGAGGAAACACAGGAAGTCTGATAAGGCTGCTGTTTCTCAGCCAGCCCTTGCAGTCATTCTGTTTCTGCAGGAGGAATATGGAGAAGAACCAATTTTACAACTCCACGAAACCTTTCAGCGGCCACCTTGGCATTACCACCATACAGAACGAGTGCATGGCAAGTTCCTCCCTTACATGCCATGCAGTCAGGACTTCTTCATTTTAGCCCCTGGGACACCTTTGTGGGCCATCCGACCAGTGCATTATGGAAGAGAAATCATTCGCTTTGCCATATACTGCAGAAATGAAAACTTTGTTGACATTATGAAACTGTACCAGATAATCCTGAAAAGACCGGTGTGTCAGAAAAAGGCAGACTTTTGTGTCTTTCCTGTCTATTCTAACATGGATATAGATATTCAGTTTTCTTTAAAAAGACTCCCTGAGGGCCAAATTCCAACCCCTACTGAGTCAGCGGTTCTGGAATTCCGAGTAGAAGATATTGGACAACTTGTCCCTCTCTTGCCCAACCCTTGTAGCCCAATCAGTGAAGGCAGGTGGCAAACAGAAGACCATGATGGGAATAAGATCCTTTTGCAGGTATTCACTAGCATCTCTAATTTTGTATGTGGTGAAACAGAAACATATTTATTAATTTGTGCTATGAATGTTAATTTGTCCTAGAACCACAAATTGAGTCGAGCTTTCATAACGTGTTGGTAGGCAGACCAAAGGAAATGCTGCTAAAAAGAGAGGTTATAAAGTCTTTATTCATGGAAACATTTATAAACCAGTACAGCTGTAGATGATATGATGTTCAAATACCTGTAAGCCCTATTTCAGCAGAGACAGGAGATGAGCCAAGTGTAGAAAAGGGAAACATAGTTTGGTTATCATCCAGAATGAGAAATAATAGGTCAAAGTGCACATTTTTGCAGTTTTTATAAGAAATACGAGTACTCGGACCAGACATCATTATAAAATAGCTATTAGTTACTAGATTTTATCATCATTTTATTTGAAAAGAGATTTTATTATCATTTTATTTGTCTGAAAAGAGAAGGTAACTAACAGCAGCTCAATAGATGGCCCAGGAAGCTCTTCTCTTATCTCTTCTAGTTCTTCTAAATAGCTATCAGGCCCAGAAGAAAGAAGAAAGTGGAGTTTACATTACAGCCTGAATCAATGCGCTGAGATCAATCCAGTACTGGTTGATTTAGCAGGTCTAGTTATAACCTATCAAATTGACTGCAGATTGTTCTTCAGTTGACCCCTCTACTCTATCCTGGATGAGAAGAGTAAGGGAAGTCGACAGGAACATTTACTCTCATCAGCCATCCGCTATAAGGGCTGCAGGGCAAAAAAATGTCAACTCCAGCCATGTTAATTTGACTCCAACTACATTATTCATGTAGCTTAGGTTGTCTTACTGCGGTAATGTAGATGTCGCCTAAGGCTGTTCCAGTTTACTTCCGTGAGTTAAATAGAATAATAATTCAAAAGCTGCATTCTTCATTAAGATACATACAAAAACTTAACCAGAGGCACGTGACTTCACAGTTACAATTAATGTACATTGTGGAGTTTTGCTTAACCATGCCTCAAAGCTGCTGCTTCACTGAAGAGGTTTCCTAGAGTTAAACCTTTTATTTGTAAATATTGGGGGATTGTATTTCTGCTCAATAAAAATAGCTTATACCCTCTATTAATTTTCTCTTTATTTTTAAAAATCAAAGGGGCAGATCATCCCCTAAATCCACATGCTTATTAATGTTAACAGAGCTAAGTATGGGACACTTCCAGCCCTCTTAATTAGCCTCATTAGTATCAGTCCTACAATTGACAGGTACTTTTTTCCCCATTATAATATTTTGGTTTCTGTTATTGTCACTCCAGCTCATCTGATGAAGTGGGTTTTATCCACAAAGGCTCATGATACTATTATGGGTGGTCAGTGAAGATACAGATTAAAGGCCACATGTACCACAGTAATCTCTTGAATAGTGGCGTTCTCGCTGATTGCCAGATTTTAATTATAAATCTTCTAACTAAAGTAATTACGAGCACAATGACACTGAGTGCTTAGGGTATTGTACAGGGGTTTAAACATTCTGTCACTAATACCCCGGTATCTATATTAATTTTCACTTCCCATCAAAATGAGAGACTAATATTTTTTCAGTTTGCAGTTTTGTGTTATTAATATTTTTGATTGCTACATACTCTGATTATCTCCACACACCAAAAGTATTGCTTATATTTATGTGAGGGCAGGGGACTGGACTTGATGATCTCTTAAGGGTCCTTCCAGTTCTAGTATTCCATGATAAATTAAATAAATCTATACTTCCCCGTAATAAAGTATGTAAGAACATAAGAACATAAGAATGGCCATACTGGGTCAGACCAAAGGTCCATCCAGCCCAGTATCCTGTCTGCCAACAGTGGCCAATGCCAGGTGCCCTAGAGGGAGTGAATTGAATAGGTAATGATCAAGCGATCTCTCTCCTGCCATCCATCTCCACCCTCTGACAAACAGAAGCTAGGGACACCATTCCTTACCCATCCTGGCTAATAGCCATTAATGGACTTAACCTTCATGAATGTATCTAGTTCTCTTTTAAACCCCGTTATAGTCCTAGCCTTCATAGCCTCCTCAGGCAAGGAGTGCCACAGATTGACTATGTGATTAGGATTTTAATATACTTCAGCAATGTGACCTGGGTGTTTTTTTGATGAAGGCTTACAGTGTTAGGACTCCTATCAACTAGTAAAATTGCCCCGCATGTAGAATAGTGATAGAAATGTAGCCGTGTTAGTCTGGGGTAGCTGAAGCAAAATGCAGGGGAATGTAGCACTTTAAAGACTATACCACAGCACCCCCTTTGTCAGCTGGTTTGATTATAATGTCCAGGTTGTTTTTGAGACTCTGGATGGCATGGTGTTCGGCGCGGCTAAGATTGTGTGTCGCTTGTTGTCGTTTGCAAATAATGTCAGTCTGTGCGTTGTTGCGGAAGCTTTGTCTATAGAAATCCAGATTGTAATTCTGACCGTCAAGGGGAGTCCATATAGAATTAAAGTGCTACATTGTCCTTCATTTTGCTAAGATTCTGCAAATGCAATTATCAAGGAGCTTAGATTAAGTAAGAGCAAGAAAAAAAACCTATGAATGGATGAGTCCTTTATTTGATATCCTTTGTTTGCAAACATTACACCCTACTCAAAAATGTTTTGTTGTAGCATCTTTGCTTTGGATGCTTCCTCCAATTATCTCTTCCATCTGAAGTGAAAGGGAGATCTGTTATTGGATTTAGTATGCACAAGATTGTCTATGATCAGTATTGGTTCTGTCATTTTCATATGTTGAATTTTACAAGGTATATAGGAATTCAGTAAATAATTGTCAAGCAAAGCATGTGAATAGTAAAAGAAAAGGAAGACCAAGATGGATTTTGACTGGAAGGACAAAAAGAAAAGCCTTTACAAAAGTTTCCTTTAATTTTGCAGTGTGCTGAAAATTAAAGAAACAAGATAGGTGAGGTCATATCTTTTATTGAATTAACTTCTTCTGGTAAAAAAAGACAAAGATTTTGAGCTACTCAGAGCTCTTCTTCAGGTGTGGGAAGGGAACTAAGAGCACCACAGCTAAGTACAATGTGGAACAGGTTGTTTAACATATATAGTTAATACATATTTCAAGGAACCATTCAAGGTGTAGTGTCCTATTAACATCCTGACACTCATAAGACAAAAAAGGGGTGTTAGTGAGGTACAGATTGTTGTACTAAATCACAAATCCAGTGTGTCTTTAAACTTTTAGTATTTAGTAAAGTTATGAATTTAAGCTTCTAGCCTCATCACTTGTATAGTCTTCCATTTGAGGATGACGACTGAAAGGTCAGACATGGAGCAATCATTTTGTGAAAAGTGTTTCCCCCATAGGTGAAGTGGTATTTTTATCTTTCATCATTTTTCTGTGTGAGTTCATTCAAGAGCGTAGTGATTGGTTTCACCCCCCTAGTTTTTGTTTGGGATTTTAGTGCACTAGATGAGATACACACTATCTTGTGATCGGTATGTGTATAATATGTTTCTGAACATGGCTGTTTGTATAACAGTAGACTCAATATAGACATGTGTCTAATCTACTATATATTTGAGAATTTATTTGTCTGTGAGCGAGTGAAGCTATCTGTCCATCTGTTTGCTCAAGAACTCCTCCTAAATGGTAAGAGTTAGGATCACCAAATTTCATATGCAGCTTTCTCTGGTCATAACTTAAAACAAGGCCAGGGTTTAGATTGAGATAGCAGGGAGCAGGGCTGGAGGTAAGCATCCCTCTCGCTCCCTAGCCAATGTGGCCTGCGGGACAGGGAGCTGGCCTCCCCCTGGCCAGCACTGCCCCCCATCTTGGCCAACTCCAGGGAACTGCCACTCAGGAAGCATCTCCCCCACTCATGGCCAGCCCCAGGAAGCTGATGCCGAGAAGCATGGCCCCCACCAGTTCCTATATCTCCCACACCTCCAGCGCCCTGCCCTAAGCCACTCTCATCCCCCAAACCTCACACTCCCAGCCCCATGCTTTGAGCCCCTCCTCATCTCCCAACCCTGACTCCAGCATCCCTAGGCACAAGAACTCCATGCCTTGAGCCCCTCCTCACCCCTCTCCCCAACACTGATTCCTGCACTCCCTGTACTCCCAGTCCACTGCTCTAAAGGACCTGAGCAATGCTGGGTAAAATTTCTAGTTATAGATATAAGAATCTAACTTTTGCCTCCTATTTTTAAGAATCTTGTCCTTTCACTGTTTCTCCTCCAAGATGTGCTCTGCCTTTTCTGTCTTAGATGTTTGTGGGTTCTCTAGTGTCAGTGATGGTTTTGGCAAAAATACACAATCCTAAACTGAGGTTTTAGAAGCTAAGTAAATCAGAAAGTGATCTTTCAGCCAGTCTATCCTTCACCATGAGAGACATAACTTCATTTATATCTTTTCATATAAAAATGACCTTTACTTAGCACATCAATATACTGAACACCAGTTTAAACGGAATATACAGTGTGCCTATATGCTACCAGGTTCCTGCCGTGGTGACTGGGACAACAAATTTATTTTAATCCCGAGCTCAACTTTCACACACATTTTATAAGCTATAAAATGTCACAATAATCCATAAAAACAAATGTTGAAACGGAAAGGTACAAAAGGGAGATACACAGATTGAATTAATACAAAGAGGCCTATTCATATAACTTAAGGACTGTGTTAAGATCATGCCTGGTAAACAAGAAAAATCAATGGATCAATAATAAAATAATGAGGGACTGGGCTATTCCATCACACACACCTCTTCCTCCCTCCTCCCCCGCCCCACATGCATTTTTTTTTGAGGTTTTGAAAAAGAAAAGACTTTTGGGAGATTGTAGATGGATGTGGATTCTGGCTGACTAAAAGTCCATTATGGCTGCCACCCCTGCTCTCTCCTGAAACCCCAGGATCTGCCATGACACTGTTCAGCCTTAGTTGTCCTGATCCTGAGAGATTTCCTGAACACACTGGGCCAGAGAGAGGGATCCTCATGATGTCAGCTCCTCAACAGCCT